CGGAAGAGGGCGCTTTCCCGGTAATGTCATTCTCCCTCTCCCCCTTCCTCCTCTACCTCTCCCTACTGTTCCTTGCCTGCAAGCATCAGTGGGAGTTAATCCATGTTGTAAAAGAACATTACGACCATACAATACACGGATATTGTGAAGCAGGAGCGCGATCGATACCCCATGATGACAGTCCTCTTCATCCTTCCATTCAGACCGGTAACATTCACACGTGCTGAGACTGGGGCTTCCATGTTGGAACCCTCAATCTCGATCTTCATAGGCTTCCCATCCAATAGCACGTTGTTGTATTTCTTAAGTGCTTGGAAAGCATCGCTCCTTCTCATATACACCACTTCTGCCGAGCCCTGTTAAAATCCATTTGCACTCATCAAACATCCCATCTCATCTCACCTATAGACAATACGGATCAACTGTTGCTTGAAAGTATAGTGAATACAGGAGGAGAGAACTTACACTCGGTTGCCCGAATTTGTCATAATGAATTGCATATCTTTTCAATTCTCCCATCTCAGCAAAGAGCTCCTGAATGCGCCCCACAAGACAGTACAGTGTGATTTTCTGTGGAATTTCTTCAGAAAGCCAAAACACAGAATATGAAAAGCCAAGATATATACCCTTATATCTTCATTTGTCACCCCCTGATCCAAGTTGGTGATGTAGAGCCTGATACCGACTTCAACTCCTGATACGCCTGCAGCTCTCAGGCTTTCTTCAAACAAATCGTTCTGCCATGGCAAGTTCCTAACCCTGCGTACAGGCTATTGAAACCCAACAGATAATGTCAGCACAATAGGCTTGTAGAACTTCAAAGCAAGATTCTAAAAGAACTTGGTAACAGAAGAGAAACCGCCCATTTGTCTGAAAGAACGAAAACCAGTCAAAGCAAATAGCCTCAGCATGTAGTCTACAACCAGTGGAGGAGAAACCGAATGAAATGCAGAAACAACGAACTTTTGACCAACGGAAAATCAACCAGTGCATGGTGCTATCAGTCAGAGCTCCAATGCCAAACACAAAATTCCGAATACCGAGACTACCAACTCGTACAAAAGAAATTCCAGATGTAGCAGGAGGCCCATCCTGAACTTCTTGTCCAAGGTAAGGTAGAGTAGACATGTATAGAGGTAAAAGATAGAACGTTTTACTGCGAAAATAGCTGAACTCCTCCAGAGGCCACATACATCTTTCCAGACTTTTGAAGCTGCATTGCTGATAATAGCAACACATCTACAACTCAGATGAGCTAATTTCAACTATTAGCTTAGTTGAAGTTCCTCAAACTCAACAGTATGATGGGTAGCAGCAAAATGCAGCAACCAAGAACTTCCATACATATCTATGCATTCTGCCAAAGTCCTCAGAACACAATCACGACTACCCAAAACAGCAGAATGAAGGAGCTTTTCTAAAAGAAATCATATCTCCATGAACTACCAAGATGTTATAAATCATTGGAATCTGCGTTTTCAGGGATGATTCAGTATCCTCGTATCTGGAACCGCAGCTAGACAGAAGTTTTGAACGTTAAAGGATGTTTAAAGGTCGTCAGAAGGAGCTTTAAGCATGTAAGAGAAAACCAGCTTCTCCGAGGAAAAAAACAGAACATTAAGTGATCCTCCATCTTTTAGAATTAGTATGATTCGGTATGCTTCGGTATTTGATGCCATAGAAATGCAGATTTCCAACCGTATATAAGCAACATCCCAGATTGTGAGCTTGCCTTGGTTATCGAGAAGGATGATGGACGAGCATTAACAGCAAGAGGACCTCTACGGGCAGGCCCAAATCCCCTTCCACCACGGGAAAATCCATTTGCTCCACGGCCACGGCGGGACCTCCCTCGTCCCCCGGACCTTTCATTCCTCCTCCTCTTGACCATATCATCAAGAGTCATATTCAAGGATCCAGACATCTTGGTGTAATGCTTTTGGCTCAGATCAAACGGAAAACGAATCTCAAAAACCTGCGTAAACGACGGGAAGGGAAAGA